TCATCTAGCCTCAAATAAAAATCATTATAACTATTATAACCTCCCAATTATTTTTATTTTTTAACACAGAATTTTTCTCGTTGGGATTAGGATAGGCGATTGTCTATAGTGTGTTTCTTAAAATATTTCTTTTTAGAATTTTTTCACCTTTTTTCCATAAAACATTTCAACTTTAATTTCTATTAAAAACCATTTTTACCTTTACCTTTTCTTATCCTACAAATCACATTATTCTTTTTTACTAATAATCTACTCATCAAATTTTGATTTTACCCATTAGATCAAAGGCAAAATTGAAAAGTCAACCTCAAACAACACATCCTTATTTTTGCCCAAAGTCAATATAGGAAGTGTTTATTAAAATGGAGAGAGTATTTTCTAGATTATTTTCAATATTAGTTTTACAAGTCCCGGGTCTTACAAGTGCCTTGATAATGTAAAAATCACTCCAAATATGACTAGAACATAAAAAAATTACCAAAATAGAATTTTCATGTTTTTATTCTCGAAATATACTCCCTCCGTCCCAAAAAGTTTGTTACGTTTAGAAAAAACTGCGTCCCGTAAAGTCCGTTACATTTCTATTAAAAAACCACTTTTACCCCTTATTTTTTCATACCCTACCTATCACATCATACCTTTTTTCTAATAATCTAACCATCACATCCTACTTATACCCATCACATCAAGGGTATTTTTGGAAAGTCAATACCAAAATATCACTCCCTTAATTTTCTAAAAAGTCAAACTGTCCCCTTCTTTTTGGGACGGAGGGAGTACTCTTTATTTCTTCTGTTAGTCAAAATAGGAATTCTTTTGAAGTTTTGATGAACAGTTGAAATACAAAATTTCACAAAATAGGTTTGAGACTCTTAGAGTGCTTCTGTGGTGTACTTCAATTTGGTGCATACCATTTTTGTACACATTCTTACATTAATTTCTTTTTAAATTTTTTTAATTAAAAAAAATACTTATGTGCTTTGTGCAACTTCCACTCTATAACCCTCCACTCTTTTTTGCAGAGAAGCCAGGCCCTAAAAAGTAAAAACAGTATACTCGGTACCTATTAGAGCACTGGTAATGGGTGTAACGCCGGGGGCGTTATTACTCCTTTTCACGCCAAAGGGGCAGCAAACACCGCTCCTTGGAACTTCAAAGGGGCTTCATTTCTTCTCCTTCAAACCTTTAACGGGCTTCAAAGCCTCTCTCACCCTCTCTTTAAAACAAAAATACACAAATATAATTTTTTTACTCTATATATTTTTGGTTTGAATTTTTTTAGTAATGTAATTTTTTGTTTTTTTATTATATTTAACATACTTTTTTTATTGACTATATTTTTTATTTAATGAATTATTTCAGTTTGCAATATGTTATTACAACTCGGATTTGAATGAAGATATTTTTAGTTGCTCGAGTAATTAGTAATTTCTTTGTAGTGTTGTTTTTTTATGGATGTAATATTTTTTTTATGAATGTAACCTTTTTTGTGAATGTATTCTTTTATGAATATTATTTTTTTATTGAATGTAATTTTTTTAATGCACTAGTCTCCTTTTGATTATTTTAAATAATAAATTAATTAAAATTTAATAATTTAAATTTAGAAGATGTATATTTAAAAATGTAAAAAATGAAGGTTTGAAGCCCCTGTTTGAAGCCCCGGGGCTTCAAACCCATTTCCACTGAATCTGTGAGATAAGTTAAAGCTGATGTGGCAGAGATAGAAATTTTGAAGCCCCGGGGCTTAATGAGTATTTCCAGTGCTCTTAAATGCATTCCTTTTGCTTTTCTGATTAATTATACTCGGCATTTAATTTGATTGTAGTTGTAACATAAGAGGAGTATGTCTTTTGTGTTACTTGAATGTTTATCCCATGTATTTTTGGAGGGTGATAAATTGGCAATTCTTGCCCTAGTGTAACTGGCAAGTACTCCATATTACGGAGTAATTATTTATTACTACATTAAAGAGAAAATGAATGTAAGACATATTTTAAGACCAGAAAATGAAAAGTGAAAAAAGGTGGATCCTAAGTTTTTTTAAGGGAGAAAGACTAAAGTAGGACTAAAACATTGAAGATATACCAAAATAGGACTTCCATGTTTTTATTCCCGAAATAGGACTTACATTACCATACTTGGTCATATACATTACCAAAAACGTATAGTAATTTGCACATGTACACTGCCACATTACCACAGGGCAACGTCACATTACCACAGTGCAAAGTCCTATTTCGGGGAAAAAAACATGAAAGTCCTATTTTGGTACTTTTATCTATGTTTTAGTCCTATTTAGGGTGATTTCTATTTTTTTAAATTACAACTCATTTATTATACACATCATATTCTACTTTATTACTCCATCCAGTCTTACAAAACTCTTCTCTTTTCCTATTTCATCCATCCCAAAAAACTATTCCATTTTTTTAAAGACTCCTATTAATTTTTAACATACCCATCATATTACACTTTTTCTAAAATACTAAAATACTAAAATACACTCTCTTTAAATCCTTTAAGAGTCAAAATAAGAAGTTTTTTGCGGGACGGAGGGAGTATAAAAAGAGAGAAAAATTAGAAAATAATATGATAATTGTACGTACTCCACCTGGAAACACGTGAAGTTTTAATATAATTTTTAAGAGATTTAAAGGGGGTGTATTTTAGTGTTGAGTTTCCAAAAGTGCCCTAGGATGTGATGGGTAAAAATAGGATTTAATATGTAGATTAATAGTAAATAAATGTGATTTGATAGGTAAGTTAGAAAAAAGGGCTAATAGTAACTTTTAATAGTAATGAGAAAGTTTTTTTGAACGTATGAAAAAGGAAATGAGAAAAATTTTCAGGGATGGAGAGAGTATATTTCTAGGGCACGCTTTTTTTTTCTTTTTGAAAAGTTTTACGAGACAGAGGTATTCTAAGAATTCTATTTTTGCAAGAATTCAGATTCACAAATAAAATACTCCCTCCGTCCCGGAAAACATGGGAGTTTTGATTTTGAAGAGAGATTTAAGGAGAGTGTATTTTGGTATTGAATTTCCAAAAATGTTCTTTGATGTGATGGGAAACAGTATGATTTGATGGATAGATTATTAGCAAAAAGGTATGATATGTGATAGGTAGGATATGGAAAAGTAATGGGTAAAAGTGACTTTTTAATAGAAATGAGAAGTTTTTTCTGGGACGGATGAAAAAAGAAAGGAGAAAGGTTTTCTGGGATGGATGAAGTATATAATTAACCCTCGTCCTGGTAAGAATTCTAATCGCAAATCAAATTATTTTCCTCTATTTGTTTTAGATATGTCAGATGTGAAATTATGAACTTGTGAAATGTGAAATTGTAAATCAATGATTTTTCCTCTATTTTTAATCAATGATTTATGATATGTTAGTTAGAAGTGAAATTTTGGATTGATGAGTTTTTTATACGAGAAGTATGAGTTGCTTTATTTTTATGTAGTGAGTGTTGCATTCATTTTGGGAGAGAGGTTGTATAACATAAATAGGGCTATTATTTTTAAAGAAGTACTCCCTCCGTCCCAAAAAGAATGGGACGATTTGACTTTTTGGGAAATTAAGAGAGAGATATTTTGGTATTGACTTTCTAAAAATATCCTTAATGTAATGTGTAAAAGTAGGATGTGATGGGTAGATTATTAGGAAAAAGGTATAATGTGATAGGTAGGGTATGAAAATGTAACGAATAAAAGTGGTTTTTTAATAGAAATGTAACGGACTTTACGGGACGCAGTTTTTTCTAAACATAACAAAGTTTTTGGAACGGAGGGAGTATATAACCAATTAGGGTACATTAGCTTGTTAAAAAGTTGGGACACGTCATGTATCAAGAGACATATACTTCAGCTGCTGCATAAACAAATCAATGGTTGAACTTCTCTCATCCCTTGAGTGTAAAACGCTCCGTCTCTAATATTAATGAGAAAGTTCACCAGGTTCGAGCTACAACGAATTGAAAGAAAGTGCGTAGGTTGAAAAAATTATGAACAAATAACAATAGAGTCAATAGTACTTAAAAACATGCATATTCTCTTCGTCTCACAAACATTTCAATTTTCTTATCTTACTCGCTTGTCTCATAAAAAAATTCAATTTGTCCAAATGGACTAAAATAAATACCCATCTTTATTCCTACTTTCCCACATCTCATCCGTCACATCTCATTTTATTTTTTATTTTTAATTACTTCTTTACATCACTTTGAAAAAAACCCTTATGATATTTGTGGGAGGCCAAACACCAAAATGCACATCCCTTAAATCATCCAAAAGTTAAAGCAAATTTTTCTGTGCTCATAAGGTTTACACCCATTTTATGGACCTTAATAAAAAATACAATGGATGGATTAGATTTCATGGAAAAAATAAAAGATCATCATATCGACTCATAATAATTATGAGAAGATTAACATTTCACACCTAAACTTGGGGAGTATTAAGTATGCGAGTTAGCATCCCGGAGTTCTCCGTAATTGGCTACATGTTAAAATTAATTGGTGCGAGGTGGTGCGTGGGTCAGCCGAACACCCAGCCCGATCCGGTCCGAGTTTGTACAAAAATGGTTGTACCAAAGTAATCGATGGTGCTTTTTGTAGAGGAAAGTACACAGACTTTTTGTTCTTGTTGCTGAATGCACCTACAGTGTCAACATCTAATTTGTGGCGCTGACAAAAACTCTCCCCCCTCTTTTACAGAATTTCATGTTTTTTACCTTTGTTCGGGTGAAAAGGGGAAAAAAAGAGAGAGAAAAGAGGATGAAAAATAAAGAGAAAAAAGTTAGAGTTTGAATTGATAGAAGGTGACAGGAAAATTGAGAGAAAAAAGAAATGAAGAGATGGAAAAAAGGAAATTAGAGAAGGAAAGAAGTTTTGACTATAAATTAAATATTTTTTTTGAATAATTATGTGTTATAAAAATTTGATATATATCAACAATATATTTTAAACTAAATATATAATTCTTAAATTTACATTATAACTAAATACCCCCTTCCTCCAAAAAAATCGTTCCTGTTTGAAAAATGACGCATCCTTAAAATTTGGAATTTTAATATTAATTATTCTTTAAGTATGACTCATCTAGGAAAGAATACTAAAATTACTCATTTTAAAGGTATATCTTTTTTTAAACATGAATTGTTTTTTTGGGAGACAGACGGAGTATAATTTTAAGGGAAGAGAATATTAAGCTCCATATTTAAAATTATACTCCATCCCTCCCTTCCAAAATCCCTAAGGGAGGATTATTTTTGTTTCTACTTTCCTAGGATACAGTTGATATGCTGATAAACTAGAATATGATTATTGATATATTAATAATGAATAAATATAAATTGATAGTATAAGCAGGAGTACATCTACATGTATATTAATATGGGGACAACCAACCTTAGTCAACTTTTTTTTTTACTCCGTGATATACAATGTGATGGTTATAAACTACCAAAGATCTCGACTAAGTCAACTACGTAAAGTTTAAGAGAGAGAGAATGCAAAGTAGGAGTATATTCACTTAAAATCTAATCCTTTACAATGAGGGGGCTTCGCCCCTTTTATAGGGAACACAATACGGCTAGTCAAACCAGTGTCAGATATTCGTCGCTTAGTAGACGTCACTTGACTTTCATGGTCTAGTCCCTTTCTTCCCGTCGATATCGCTCGGTCCCTATCGCCCAGTCGTTAGCCCCCCATCGCTATCACGCGTCCCGAGCCAAGGAGGACATACTAGCAGGGACGATCCGAGCTCATACCTATCGAGCCGAGCTCGTATGTAGCGAACCAAGTCTTGAGCTCTATCTTGTGGATGCGGGGCCCAACTGATGTCAATCTTGGGCTGACAGGGGTTATCCTCTATCATGAGACCCCCACTCTTCGGGTTCCTTGGCTGCTGGAAATGGAACGCGCGAGAGTAGAAATACTGTGGACAGATGGCGCATGGTTCCACACACGACCACGATGGACATGCGGTGACCTTTGGGGTTCCCAAGCGAGGTGCTGCGACGTTTCGTCTCCCCACGCCAAGTGACGGCCCATATTTGCACCTATTCGATCCGTCTCTTTCAAACATCCTTATAAATATCGACCCGACACCCCTCACTTTTAACTCTTAGAGAGAGACAGTTGTCGTTCTTTTTACAGTCGGATCTGCTTTTACACCTCTACCGATAAGTTTTTGCCTTTGCTTTCCAGCCCCTTCAACACTTTACGTTATTTTCCTCACCCCTATTCTTCAATGTCTACACAATCCTCCACCGCGCGCCAGTCCGCGACCGAGCTTGGCGACCAGGGCTCTGCTTGGAACACCGACCAAAAGATCCAATTTAGCTCGTGCTCTCACGAGGAGATAGTGGCGGTCGAGCTCCCGTTCCAGCCCGAGCCCCTCCACTAAAGTTGAACGGGTTTGGAGGACTCGGTCATTCGTGCACAGAAGTGCACCCTGAAGGGAGACAAGTTCCACAATGCCAAGTGTCTTGTCAAGTGTCCTGGTGTCTCTGTGCGATGGCCCACTCTCTAGGATTCCGTCTTTGATGTCCCACCGGGCTTCTTCGCAATCCAACTCAAATCCCTCAAGTATGGGTTTCGCTTCCCTCTTCATCTGCTAGTTGTCGCATTCTTCCACCACTTTGACCTCCTCCCCTGCCAAATCGTCCCAAAGTCGCATCATTACGTGGCCGGCTTCCTCATTCACTGTCAACAAACCGAGGTCCGCCCCGATTTGGGCCGCTTCTTGATCATATTCTGGCCGGCTAAGTTTTCTGGCGTGGACTCGGGCTCCTACGCTGCCCTCGTCCAGATGCAGGAGAAGATCTTCAAATCCAAGGACTCTGTTAAGAGCTGGAAGGAGAAGTTCATCTTGTCTCCCCTCCCTTGGGCTCCCCTTTGCGCGAGGAACCACCTAGTTCCGTTCGTCGTCGTACCACACCCGTCACTTTGGACAGAATGACTGACGATGTGGAAAAGGTCTGCCGAGGGGGCCCTTACGAGCTCGCTTCGATGGTGCATGACGAGGCACTAGCTAGGCTCGGTTTTGTATTCCTGCCCTCGGAGGAGATCCAACGAAACCTCGAGGAAGGCCCCTCAGGTCAGCGTGTTAGGCGCTTTTTATTTCAACATCCATTTTTGCCCTTAAGTGCTTCTTTCACCGTTGATCATTTTTGCAGGAAAAATGACGCTCTCAGCCTCAAACAAGATGCAACTCATTCTCCAGGGTGGCAAGGTCAAGGGCTCGCAAGGGCGTCCCACCTCGGGCGGTCTCCCCCACGCCGCCTATCAACTCAGCTTCTAGGGAGGCGCCCAAGATGAAGAAGCACAAGGAGACGGCCTCGTCCTTGGCCACCCCGAGGGGATCCGAGTCTCCTCACATGACTCATTCCGGGCATCCTTCCGGAGTCAAGGTAGCCTTCCCCCCTCTGCCTTCCTTCGTGAGGGGGGATTATGATCCATAGACCTTCTTGTGGAGCTTCACTCCTCCCTCCGACCGTGAGGCACTCTGTGAGGCGGAGAGTGATGCCATGGCCTTGAATTCGCTTAGGGAGCTAGGCTCGGTAAGTCCCTTCACGCAACCTCATGAGTACATTTGACTTAGTGACACGCGACATTTTCATCCTTTCAATCTTTCCTACACGCATTGATGCATGCTCTTTGCCGAGTTAAACATACAGCTGCGGCTCTCAAAGGAGGACAGGGCCAAGGCCCATGATGAGACGGCAGCCTCCGAGGAGGGTGCTTGCCAAGCTGAGGAGCGTGCGTGGGCCGCTGAAGAACGGGCCTAGAAAGCTGAGGAAACGGATCGCAAGGCCATCGAAGGGCGCGATCAGGCTGTGGAGGAGTTCAGGCATCACCCACCTTCCAAGAGGCGGCCTTCGCACGCATGAAGGATCTGCTGAAGTCTTGGGAGTCGACGGGCGAACGGCGGGAGTTTTCCTGTGCTAAGGGAACCTTCTACTATGACCTCGGGTTTTTTTCGGCCCAACATGTCCTGCTGAACAAGCTTGCATAGGGCGAGGATCTGCCAGACCCATGGGGCGACCTCGAAGAGTTTGATTCATCCATATACTATCCAGAGACTGGAGGCAAGGGCACCACCGATCAGCCCGACAGGAGTTGACGCCCCCAACTTGTACTATTTTATTTTCATTTTTTGTAATGAGACTATGCGACCTTCTGTTTTGTATGAACTTGGTTTGATTCTTGATGTTTCTTTTCAAAATCTCCACGATTCAATCATTTTCCCCTTGGAATTCCTTCATGAAATGGTGTTTCCTTTCAAATTCTCCTCGATTCGCCAATCCTCGGCCATATTCTGCTGATCATGGCTTACCACCATTGTGACATCTAGGCCACAATTTCACAGTGTCTCGCCTGTGCAGCTACCTCAGAACATGTTGATTGTCGAACATGTCCTTTACCCGATTTGTTCATCGATGCAACTTTGGGACTTGGTGCCTCTTACTAATCATTGAACCTGACCATTAATCAGTTCGTTAATCAAGGCAGCCTTGGGACTAGGTACCTTTTATTGACCACTGAATTCGACCAGTCCTGGCTCGCCACGTGTCCCTCTAACCCTCGACCCATGGCCTATAAAAGGGAGGGGGGAACTATCGTAACAGTCCTTGCACCAAAGTCTAAACCTGTCCTAATCTTTACAATGTCTTGCTCTGCCCCGACTCCCCCTGACTCGAGCGAGATGCGGGACCATTCGCTTTTCCCCCAGTAGCTACTCCTATGAGGGTTCTTCTGCTATCCAACCAAGAATGGGTCGAGCTCGAACCCTCCGCCAGCTCAGCGGGACTCTAAGGACTCTGACTCTGAGTCGGTGCATCCTAACCCCTTTGCGAAGATTCCGGGGTTCATCTATCACTCTTGGGAAGAGGACGTAAAGACCCCTCCCCGGTCCACTCGTGCCGAGGAGACCTCCGCTCCCCTGGCCACCCATGACCACATGGTCCGAAGGCATCAACCTCCCACTCCTCCGGCTGAGGGTTCGAGTGCGTGTCTTTGACCTTCATCCGGAAGATCATCTAGTTATGGTCTGCACTCGGCCATCCTCCTCACGGAGGTTGGAACCGAGCGTGCGTCATTGACCTTCATTCGGGGAAAACATCCGGCTATGGTCTTTGCGCGACCGTCCTCCTTGTGGAGGTGTGGACCGAGCATGTGTCTTTGACCTTCGTCTGGGAAGATCATCCGGTTATTGTCGGCACTCGGCCATCCTCCTCACGAAGGTTGGAACCAAGCACACACCTTTAGCCTTCATCCGGATAAAACATTCAGGTATGCCCAAGGTGGACTCTGTTCTTAGCAAAAAACTTCATTTCATTGAATTCAGTCAAAGGATTTACGGGTCCCCTCTTGGGGGTCCGTATACAAGGTTTTACTGGTAAAATTTAAGGAGGTTCTCAGCATCCCATGTTTTGGGCCCGTCTCCTCCGCTTGGCGTCTGCAGACGAAAGGTTGAAGGACCTAACACCTCTTTGATTATATAGGAGACTTCATAGTTCTTAACGAACTTCCCACCTTCCAAGGGGTGGCTCACTGTCCTCTTATTTAGCACCTAGTCTCCTTCAATAAAGTCATGCGGGCAAACCCGTCCATCATGGTAGTTATTCACCCTCTTTCGATAATTCTCTGCTCATAGGAAGGCCACTTCCCGTCTCTCATGTACGAGATGGAGTTCTGCCGCCAACGCTTCTTCACTGCGTTCAAGATCGAAGATCTCCTCGCGATGAGTCACGACGGAAGTCTCTGTGGGTGCCCTTGCCTCGAAGCTGTATTATAGAGCAAAGGGGGTCTCCTTCGTCACTTTCCAAGGTGTGGTCCGGTAAGTTCACAAGATATAGGCCAACTCCTCTGCCCACTCCCCTTTGCAGGCTTCTAGCTTCTGCTTCAATCCGTTGATGATCATATGTTTGCTTTCTGACTTGCCCATTTGTTTGCTGGTATCTGACCGATGAATAGCTATGTTTGATCCCCAAACATCCAAGAAATTCGTTAAAGGGCTAGGACTCAAACTGCATCCTATTGCCCAAGATCACATGCTTGGGGACACCAAAACGGCAGATGACTTGCTTGGCGAGGAACTTCTGGCACTGAGCTCCTGTTATACCTATCAGCGGTGTCGTCTCCACCTACTTTGTGAAGTAGTCGATCGCCACTATGACGTTCCTCACATTCCCAGTGCCTCTAGGAAATGCACTACGAGGTCCACCCCCCACCGGGCGAATGGAATAGCCATGCTCATGGGCGTGTAATTTGTGGAAGGCATTCCTGGTACCTTCTGGAAATCTTGACAAACCTTGCACTTCCTTACGAAATCTGCACAATCCTTTACTATAATGGGCCAAAAATACCCCTGGAGGGTAATCTTTCGCGATACTGCGTACTCCCCTTGATGAGCCGAGCATATCCTAACATGTACCTCCTCCTTGACTTGTTTCGCTTTGGCATCTGAGCAGCGTACCGTTATAAGCTCGCTTGTATAGTTTTCCATCTTCTAGGGTGTACCCCGCTGCTCTAGACCAGACCAGCGTGGCCTTCGTCGCATCATCCGGGAGTACGCCGTCCTTAACGCACACGACTATGTCGTCTGTCCAATCCCTTGGTTGTGCGCAGATCTTTTCCACTATGAAGGTATGGATACTTGGCTTGGTCAGCTCCTCCACGTTCGCCATTCGCCAAATATGCTCGGGTGTCTCGAAGCTCAACTTTGACAAAATGTCCACCTTGACATTCTCCGCGCAAGGGATTCGCTCTACATTGTAAGCGGTGAAACCCTTCAACAACTCTACGGCGGCATCCCTATACTTCTTCTTTCTTTCGTCTTTTGCCTCAAACTCTGTAGAGACATGGCCAAACACCATCTTCGAGTTTCACTTTACCCTTAACTTGGTCACGTTCATTTCGGCTACTAAACGTAACCCGCACAAGAGTGCCTCATACTCTACCTCATTGTTCGATGCCTTGAAGCCAAACCGGTTAGAGTAATACGCTCTGAAGCCTTCGGGAGCGATTACTACCGTACCACTCCACTCCCCCGAGTTTTTGGCGGAGGAGGAGCTGTCGGTAAAAACTGTCCACCAATCATCACATTCGGGCGCTTTAGGGCCTGGCTCATCCCGGGTGGTACACTCCACCATGAAGTCTGCCAACGTTTTCACTTTGATTGCCGGTGTCTGCTTGTACTAGACTTGGAAGGCACCGAGGAACACCACCCATTTGGACGTTCACGAGAGTGCGTTCAGGCTCCTTAGCAGCGCGCCTATGAGTTGCTAGGAATCTAGGATAGTACTTGAACTGGGTGTGCTTGGTAGTAGGGTGTCAACCGCTGCGCGGTGGAAACCACAGCTAGAACTGTTTCCTCAACTATAGAATATCTGAACTCAGGCTGCCTTAGTGTCTTTGCCGTGTAGTACACCAGGTGTTGGGCTCCACCCTCTTCTTTCACGAGGACCGAGCTTACAAGGTTTCTTTAGCCTCGGGTTTCATGAGCACCAGAGGAGAAAGGAGGTAGGACATAAGAGATTCGAAGGATCATTGACATTCCCTCGAGCCTTCTTCATTGCATGAAAGAATGGAGCAGCTCGGCCTGCCACCTTGGAGAGGAAACGGCTGAGCGCCGCAACTTCCCGGTGATGCGCTAGACTTCCTTGACATTTCTTGGGGCTTTAATGTGAAGGATGGCGCACACCTTCTCGAGGTTGGGCTCAATGTCATGTCGAATCATCATTCCTAAGAATTTGCCACCCCGAGCTCCAAACGTGCACTTCTTCAGATTTAGCTGAACATTGTACTTTTTCATGATCCAGAAAATTCCTTCCAAGTCTTCCACGTGGGTGGTCGCCTTCTTGCTATTCAGAATAATGTCGTTGACGTATGCGGTATGCCTCTATGCCTTTCCCGAGGACAAGGGCGAAAAGCTTACTCATCATCCTGGTATAGTCGCCCTGGCATTATTGAGACCGAAGGGCATCACCTTGTAACAATACATTCCACCACGAGTGGTGAAGGATGTCTCCTCCTCGTCTTCGGGGTGCATCCTGATCTGATGGTACCCGCTAAAGGCATCCATGAAACTCATGAGCTTGCATCTCGTCGTTTCGTCCACCAGTTGAGCAATATTTGGGAGTGGGAACAGGTCCATGGGACATGCCTTGTTCAGGTCGGTGTAATCCATGCACAGTCTACATGTGGTCTCCTTTAGAGCCAACACCACGTTAGTCATCCACTCCAAGAACTTGACTTCCCTGATTTGCCCAATGCTTTGGAGGGTAGCCACCTCCTTGGCGACAAATTCTCTCCGCTCGAATGAGAGGAACCACTTCTTTTGAAGGTGGCGAGCACGAACACAAAGTGCTTCTGCAGGTTTCTAGCCAGGCTCGCCCAAATTTTAAGCTTTTGCTCGGGCATCCGAGGGTCGAGCAACACCTCCTTTCGGGCTCGGCTTTTGGCCATGTCTCCTTGTTCCTGTTCTCCTCCTAGGCGTGCACGACTAACGTCTCATCCTTTGGCAACTTCTTCGTGATCCGGGCATAATATGAGCGGGCTAACTTTTCATTTCCCCTTGCCACCCCAATCCCTGAAAGAGTGGGGAACTTCATGCATAGGTAGTACAGGGAGATGACGCATACCAAGTCCTCAAGGCCGGGCCGTCTAGGATCATATTGTGTATTTAGTTGATGTTCACCACCATGAAATCCATCGTTAACTTGGCCTTGTGTGCACCATCCCATATTATCATAGGCACTGTGATGACTCCTTCGGCCTCGATGGAGTCTTGCGTGAACCCGGAGAGGGGAGTGCACACTGGCTTAAGATCTTTGCGGTTGAGGCTGAGGCCTTAGAAGGTCTTCTCATACATTATGTTCACCGAGCTCCCTGGGTCCACCAGGGTGCGATGCATTATGGCGTCATTTATTTCGATGTGTATGACCAAGGTATCTCGATGGGGGCTCGACGTATCAGAAATGTCTTTATCCATGAGCTAGATGTGCTCTCTCCTCCTGAGCTTGGGCGCTGGTGTTTGATGGACCTTGGCAACGAAAGCCATGTCCTTCTACTTCTTCCTCTAGGCCAAGGAGTCTCCATCCATATCCCCCCCTCGTGGATAAACCCCACTTGATATCCTTGGGCTCCGTCGTCGTCTAGGTCGTCACATTCCCGCCCAATGTTCATCTTCTCAAGATTCCTCGCTTGCATGGCCTTGGCGATCGGCTCAGCCGGTTTCCTCTAGGTCCTCCCTTCTAGCACCCCTAGCGATGGGGCCGACCATCATCTCGAGGATCCGGCCCTCTGGTGATTAGCCGTCGCATCTCCTTTTAAAGGGTAAAGCAATCCTTGGTGTTGTGTGTATTATTGAAGTGATATTCACGGTACTTGCTGCCACCGGTCACCGCGTAGGTCTCCATGTGATGGAGCGAGGAGAGAGCTAGCTCTCGACCCATCCCCACAGGCGCCCACTACAGAGTAGACCCCGGCCGAAGGTGCCCTTGGACCAGTGGTATAATCCTTCTTAATCTTCCTCTTCTTTGCGACTTCTCCCGAGTCCACGGGAGCTTGCTTGGCCGGCGCAGCCTTGGAGGCAGGAGCGTTGTCGAACTCCTCCGAGGCCAAGAACTTAGCGTGTGCCAAGGTTTCCTGGTACATGCGGGGAGAGTTCTTACGGAGCTCCTTTTTCACTTCTCCCCGGGGAAGGGCTTCTTAAAACATCGCTACCAAGGTCTGGTCACCCGCCCCGTGCAGGTCCCTGGCTTCCTTTTCACACCGGACTATAAAGTCTCGGACCTTCTCTCCTTGACGAATGCAGATAGTGAGGAGGTAGAAGTATGGTAGCCTTTGTCTTTGGTTGGCTACGAAATGGGTCAAAACCTTTTCTACTAGTGTGTCCCAATCATCAATGGTCCCCATCGGGAGTCGGTTGAACCAATCACATGCTAAGCCTTCTAGCGTCGCGGGGAAGCATTGGCACTTGACCTCATCCGAGGCTGCCGTCGCCCTCATTAAGGCATAGAACTTAGACAGATGATCCAGGGGGTCTGTCGTCCCATTGTAGGCCTTGATCTACCATGACCGGAAGTTCCCTAACAGCGGGACCAACATAACCCTCGGGGCGAATGGGATCATCGTCCTCAAGATAGGTGTGTTGTAGGGCATCCTTGTCTCCACTAGGTGTTTAAGTTTGGCGATTTCATGTGCGAGGTAGGACATGCCGTGATCCGAGCCTCTTGTCTTCTCGGTCTGTGTGTGGCTCTGCTGACGCTGGGCCCGCTCGTCTCACCGGCCGTTGGTGCGCTCGCGCCCTACCGAGCGTGCATCTGAGGTCGCCGACTCCTCGGCGTGCCTCCTCTTGCCCTCTGAAAATCTGTTGGCAAAGGTAGCCCTGACGACCCTCTTGTCCCTAGTTGAGCTTGTTGAGAGCCGACACATGAGTCTCATCGCCCCCAGGTGCTTGAAGGTTGATACTCGACACTCGCTGGACTCGTCGTCCTCCCCTTCTGGAATGTCTTCCACTAGCACCTCTTCGATCATCTTAGCCTTGCCAGGCCTCCTCCGACTCCTTCGGGTCTTCTTCCCCTTGTGCTGAGAAGTGGCAGCGTGTTCGGTATTGGGGCCTCCCAAGGCATAGGTAAATCCGGTGCCTGGTCCACTCCCGCCCATGGCGGAGAGGGTACGGCAGCCTAGAGCTGCTCAACGGTCACCCCCATTCTGAACAGTGCCAGGAACATGTCAGGGGCTGAGGTAATCCCTCCAGTGCCATTGCCGTTGCCCTAGCCATTCTCTTTGATGGCAACGTGGTTGGTGGCGGGGACGTTGCTCCTTGTTTGCACCATTCTCGTTTTCGGGAGTTAACCTACTAGTATGTCTCTCGACTCTCAAAGAAATTAAAGCACCAATTTGATGGTTATAAACCACCGCAGATCTTGACTAAGTCAACTACGTAAAGTTTTAGAGATAGAGAATGCAAAGTAGGAGTATATTCACTTAAAATCCGATCTTTTACAATGAGGGGGCTTCGCGCCTTTTATTGGAGACACAATACGGCTAGTAGACGCCACCTAACTCTCATGGTCTAATCTCTTTCAGCCCGTCGTTATCGCCCGGTCCCTATCGCCCAATCGCTGTCTCCCCATCGCTATCAGACGTCCCAAGCCGAGGAGGACATACCAGCAGGGACGAGCCGAGCTCGTATGTAGTGAACCGAGTCTTAAGCTCTATCTTGTGGATGCGAGGCTTAGCTGATGTCAAACTTGGGTTGACATGGGGTTATCCTCCATCACAATGTCAAAATAATATTTTTGTAGAAAATTAAAAGAATGACTAATGTAAAAAATTATTTCGCCCCTACTGACAAAATAAAATGTTAGTGTAAAAGTAAAAAAAATCACTTAAAAAGATAAACAGGTAAAATATTTGAAATATCATAATTATTTTATGTTATGATATATTTTATTTTATTTTATTTTATTTTATGTTGTAAAATATACTTTAAAAATATTTTTATTATTTGAATACTTGTTTGAAATTAAACTTATTTAGTTTTTTACCATTACCAAAGGTTTAAAAATAAAAATTCAAGAGCACTACCCCTAAACCCCCACCATACTGTTTAGTGCACGTTTGACCACAGTTATATTTTTTTTTGATGATCCACTAGTGAGTAAAAGATTTTTAAAAAAATTTAATAGACGGATAAAAATTTGTTTAATCCAATTATATAAGAAAGAAGCAAAAAGAGATATATGGGGAGTACATGCCATTCCGCAACACTCTCTACTTCTCAATCAAGTCACTATCTGTTTTTCTCTCACACACACACACACACTCACCGACTCAGTAGCCTCCTTTAAATTAAAGCTCCAACAACGTACAGCTCTCTCCCCCCCTCTCTCTTCTCAAGCTATCTCAAAATCCCAGGTATGAACTTCCTCTTTTGCTCTCTCAAAGGGTGAACATGAGGGTTTTACATTTCTTCTCCGATCTATTTCTTTAAGCTTAAAGTTTTTTTTGATGCTGTTGGGTGGGAATATGGGGTTTCTTTCTTGTTTGGACTGAGATTTGTGGAGAAAAAAGGCATTTCTAGTAGTGGTATTTAACATATATATTTTGATGTTTTTTAGGAGTATTTGATGCTGTTGGGTGGGAATATGGGGTTTCTTTCTTGTTTGGACTGAGATTTGCGGAGAAAAAAGGCATTTCTAGTAGTGGTATTTAACACATATATATTTTGATGTTTTTTAGGAGTATTTGATACGGTTGGGAAAAAAAGGCATTTCTATGAGTATTTTTTTAATGATGATGTGCGTGGTTGGGTGAGATTTTTGGTTTGTTCTCAGATTTGATACGGCAGCCCTTCCCATTCATCATCATCATCATCAGATTTGTGAAAATTATTAAGACATTTCAGAAATTTAAGACGCATAGATCCGGCCTGTTTTTTTGGTGCCTGCCTGGCCGGGGTTTCTCCGACTAGCTAGCAGCCCCTGTTTCATTTAGTTTCTATATAGATTTGTGAAATAGGAGGGTTCTTGGGAGGGAGGGATGGGGCCCGCGGGGTGAATATTTGAATGAATGTTTGTCTTGCAACAGGTTGTCCGATGTGGACCTTTCCTAAAAAGAACGCATGTACACTCTTCGTCCAACTGATCAAGAGGAGGATCATGCCTCCATGGGGAGGGGCGGCCGCCATTGGCATGCGGCGGATGGAAGATGCTAATAAGGCAGCTGCTGCTGATGGGAGGACAGCCCCTAGGGAGTTGGCGTCGATCATCTCTTTTGACGTCGGCACCACCTTCGTCGGCCTCTCCAAGATCACGATTGGAGACGACCATGTCCCCCTAGTCACCCCTCTCACGTAAGTATTACCTACTACTCCCTCCGTCCTAATTCTTTCTTCCCAGTTTGACTTTTCCCCATTTTTAATTTTTGGTTTTGACTTCAAATTTTACCCTCCTTAAAAAAGATTTTTTGAATTTTTTTTTTTACAATCATTCAAAATATAGAGTTAGAAGATAATTGGTGTAAATACATGAGGGTATTAATGTCATTTGTTATCCTTTTTTTTTCTAATGGGAAGGTAGTTTTAGGACGGAAAAAAAAGTGAAGTGGGAAGAAAGTTTTAGGACAGAGGGAGTACTATTTTTTACTCTTCTTTTTGCATTTGGGAAACAAAGTACAGTAATTAATATAAAAAATGATGAATGTTGAAGAGAGTGTGCATTTATTTAAACATACTCCCTCCCTCCGTCCCGGAGCATTCGTCCAGTTTTGACTTTTGAAACTATTCATCTAAGCACTTTGACTCATCAAATTCTCTCAATGTGTAAGCCTAAATATAGTCATGTGTAATCTTTTTTGATTTGTTTTAACATATAGATTATTAATATATAATTTCTATAATTTTTTAATATACAAATTACAAGATAAAATAGATTAAACAAGTGTATTGGATGATGTGTAAAAATGAAAGTGGACAAATACTCTGGGACAGAAGTAGTAGGTGTGAAAGTAGTTGGGAAAAAAAAAAATTTGATTCGAAACTTGTCATCTGTCAATTTTTGTGCGCCATATAGTGCACAATTTACTTGCACCCTCCCCCGTCCCAAATTCTTGGCCTAGCTAGATTTTAGGGAGTATTTCAGATTTTTGACAAGTTTTGTTCGTAGCCATTTGATAAAATTCAAAATCTTTGTCACCACTTTTAATTTTTGCACTTCCTTCATTCCATAAATAAAATTCTTTTCATATCATTGACTTTAGAAAACATAAGAGTGATATTTTTGTGTTAATTGTCTAAAATTGTTTTTGATGGGATGGATGCGAAGTAAAATGTGATATATAGATTATTAGTAAAATGTATAATGTAATATTTAGAATAATAATTAATATAGGTAAAAGTAGATTAGAAAAAAGGACCTTGTGGGACACAAAAGTAAATGAAGAAGAATGATTTTAAGTAAAACTTTTGAATTAGTTTTTGAACATGTACTTTTAATTTTAAATATTAATTTGTAAATAAAATTGATTTAAAAAACGATAATATTGAAGAGAGTGTGTTCATTTTCGTGTCTGAAAGTAATTGAGAAAACAAATTGGTTCAAAACATAGGGATGCTTTGTCAAAATATGGGATGTATGTGTCTTTTGGATTGTATACAGAGAACTTAAAATTGTGGTTTGCGCCATATAGCTGTCAAAATATGGGATGTATGTGTCTTTTGGAGTATAATTTGGTGTTAACTCTCCAAAAATGCCTTTTGATGTGAGGGATAAAGTAGGATGTGATGTGTAGACTAATAGAAAAAAAAGTGTCATGTGATAAGTAGATTAAGAGTTAATAGGGGTAAAATTGACTTTCTAATAGGAAAAGAAAAGTGTTTCTTGGGACGGATGAAAAAGAAAAGGGGAAGAGTTTTGTGGGACGGAGGGAGTATTATAATTCAATATACTTTTTTCACAATTTGTAGTTAAAATGTATAATTTTTTGACCAAATATTATTTAAACAGAGTAATATTTTGTGAAATGGAAGAGTATTATACTTTGCATGTTTTTTTCAGGACTCTGCCGAAGGGGACGCCACTTTGAGCGTGACCTGATACAACTGGTATTTATCCTCTCCCCAAAAAATGTTTTGAGTGGCCTTTCCACCGATATTTAAGTCGAGTTTGAAGAAAAGTCCATCCTAAATTAAATATTGTGTGGATTGATGAAATTTTGCGTTAAGCGGTTTTTTTAGTGTCCAAAATTGGAGAAAGTTTTTATTAAATTTGTATGGTTATCTTTATTATTGTAATTAATAATAATAATAATAATGCAGATTCGACGTCAACGAGCTATAGGTTTCATATTCGGGTACCCGTATGGGCATAAGTCTACGGTACAATTTCTTTCTCATATATTCACTCAAAATAGTGTGAGTACAAACCTTAGCTAAAGTAAAGAATACCCTCATTAAAGCATTTTAATGAGAGGAAACTTACTCTCATCACCCGTTATTATAGCCTCCATAGTTAATTATAAATAATGGCGGGCTTTAAGTCCTGTCATTAAAAACCATTTAATGAGAGTACTTTTACCTTCATCAAAATGAACTTTTAATGAAAGAAATTCCCTTCAATCTCATATGATTGACATGAGTTACTACAAGAAAAAAGAGATACAAGAACATACAAAAAAAGTCATTTATTATATAAGGACACTTAATTAATGTGTCCTCTATCTAGGAGTCATAGTAAGTCTAAAATAAAGACACGTAAAATGTGTCCTCTTTTCTTTTCAAGGACACACCAAATTATTTTCAAAAAGTGTCCTTATATCATTTAGAAGACACCTAAAACGTTTCTTCATATTATCTAACATGTGTCCTCATATTTATATTAGGACACTATTTGTGTGTCCTAACAATGCTGTGAGAATTGTCTTAAATCAATAAAATGACAAATTAATACTCCACTTTCAAATTCATGTCCTCTTTTTACTATAAGAATACATTATCTCGTAAAAAATATGATATCTATCCTCAAATCATCATTTAAATTGTCATCAATGTATAAAGAAACTAATTTATTGTTTTTAGGTAAAACAATACACTGGCAATTTAATACTAAATTGTTACCCTTTTATAGTTTTACAAAGTAGACTCCATACATTTTACTAGGAATTGGTACACTTCATACATTTATTGATAGGAGTTGATTTGTTTCAAGTATGCTTATTAGGTTTCTTCACGTGCTTGAATATATGAATCAACCACTTCGATCCACTTGTGTCGAACTTTGTCGATCAACCTCTACTTGAATGTGTAACTCTTTTCCCTCAAACAAAAAAAACATACATGTTATAAGCAGGCTATATCATTATGAACAACACATGAGCAGTAGTTAAACACATGAGCAATAACTTTAACAAATACAAGTATTCCAAAAATAAAAATGGCATGAACAAAATGGGAAATGACTCCCATGACTCCATGAGTAACACATACCACACATCTCAATCAAATTGAGTAACAAATACAATTGGAAGAAAATGGAATAATTTACATAGACAATTAAAACAATCAAAAAAACCAATTGAGTAACAAATATATTTGGAACAATCTACATATCCCTGAAATTTAGATGTTTCTTTGGAAAATAAACAATGAGATACTATCTTCCCCTATGAATTTAAAGAAGATTGGCTCACACACAGTGACTCAGTGTCAATTTTGTAAGACTGCTGAAGAGGAAACCGAACATACACTTCTCGAGTTATTACTCACATTGTTAATGGGTCATACTCAAGACTAATGGGTCATACTCAAGAACTATTTTACATTGTTGCCTACATTGTTGATGGGTTATACTCATCACTGATTACATTGAGAACATACCCTAGAACAGAATCTGACAACAAACAAGAAATCAACATATTTATAGTTCAATAAAAATGCATTCGAGTGAACTAACCGGAAGATATATTGTAGCATCATCAATCCACTACCACTAGAATCAGGTAACTCAACCAAAGCTTCATTGTAAGCAAGATCTTTTCCATGTACTAGACCCAGTTTTAGGAGCAATCGACACGACACAGGTGGGCATCAAATCCACATCATTGTGGAAGCTGTTGAGGATCGACCATGACATCTGATGGGGCAATATTGTAAGAACATCTCTCACCCTGAATGGTACAACATGTGAAATTTAGTAAACCAAAAGGATCTTGAAATAAGAAACTAAATATATAAAGAAAAAAACATAACACGACTGAGCATAAATATGTAGAGCAGAGATAAGATAAAAATGTTAATAAAAAGAAGCTTATTCAATTTTAGTTTACCTTTGCTTTTTTATAAATTGGGTTCAATAAATATGAAATGAACAAATAAGATAAACATACAAGTATCCAAGGTTTACTTCATCAGATGAATCAGGAAAAAAAGATACATGTAAGAGATCAAATATCTATGTAGCTAGTCTTCTACCTGCAAGTTAGACCATGAGTAAACATTCATTTTGCTTCTTGTAGTTTTGCATAAACATTAAAGAAAAACATGGGCATCTCTACCTTGATATGTGTCAGCCTTGAATTAGAAAAGGAGCTCTAAGCTATCACCCAAGGAAGCTCATGTGAATAGCTTCAAAGCAAGCTGCAAACTTGAGATAATCTTATTGTGAGTGAGTGTTTAAGCCTAATATCACTGTAAGTAGTGCAAATTAACTATAAAAATAGATGAAATCCACCTAGTCATAAAAACTTCACAAGTTGCTAAATAACATTTGTCGAAATCACCTCACAAGTTGCTAATTGAAATAACAAAACACAACTCACAGAATTTTAACCAATTTAAAAAGAGCAAGTAGATTTGAACATCAACCTTGAGTTTAAACTTCTCGGAACAGAGTCAGAATGCAATAGATTCAAGCTATACACCAATGCAAAATTTAAATTCAAAATATACTTGGTGCTTAAACCAATTTAAAATGGAGTCACGCTGGTAGACTCAATCCTTACATGAGCACGAAAATTACTTCCAACAAAATACAAGACTCAGGCAACTCAATATCCAATTTAAAAATTGAACAAACAAAAGGCTATGAGATTAGAGATTTGACCTTGATTGAGAGGTTTACACTGCTATCCGTGGTGCTCTACTAATTTCACCTTTAGTTCAAATTTTTTTCAATGCGGCTCTGTGCATCTCGCAGCATTAGTTCTCCTGGGTCGGTAGTCTCCTCGAGTTCTCTGCTTCGTGCTAAATGAAGAGGATGAGCCTCGCTCATCTCTCTACTTCGCTCGTCGTGTATCTGTTTTGCTCTTTTTTTCTGATTTCAGACTCTCCTCCACATCTTAGATCTAATTCCTTTGGCTGCGTATGAAAGTGAAACTAGGGTAGAAGTTTGATAAGGGATGGGGAGTATATACACGTGAAGTCCTCATTTATTCTTTTAAGATGGAGTGTCTTAAAAAGTTTTTAATGACACATCCTAAATTATGTGTCCTTAATTAGTGTCCTTGTAACTCTTTTTTCTTGTAGTGAGTCCTTCTAGCCCCGTCCATTGTTTTGAAGTCCTTCATTGCCTTTAAATTGATTTTCTTCAACTCTGTTTTAGAGACATTAGATATGATGGTCTTTGCATAACACCAGACCCAAAAGAATGTCCTAAAAAAGGAAAGAGAAAGTACCTACATAAGTTAAAAAGAGATAAGCATATAGCCCCAGGAGAACTTTAAAATGTTGCACATGTATTTCAACTAAAAGCAAACAGTGTGTAGTAGTATCAGCCCAGTATGTGTAGTTGCCAACACAGAACCTACTTCTCTGTAAAAACACTACTGATAATCATCTTCAATTCTATTTAATTCAATCTTTACCTACTTAGAAAAAATTAAAGTAGTAATATGTAAAACTCCAACAATAGTACATTAAAAAACAATGTCAACATACTTTTAAAAACAATTTAAAAGAAATACATCAAAAAATTCATCCTCAATAAGCTCCTTACTCTGAAGTAGCAGTTCTTTGATAATACGTCTGACATCTGCAGAAAGTAGAATTTTTTGCTCAATAAGGCTTGTATTCTGAAAAACAAATCTGAAAAAGATCAACTCATCCACAATTTGTAGCATTAATTCCATAAAAACACATATAAGGTTATCTATCTTTCTGCATTAATACACCCTGCCCTCCCTAGTTGAAGTTAAACTCGGTAGGAAATTCACAATAACATAGGCAAAAAACAAAGAATATACATGGGACAAGATCTCTGACTTAAAAGGTTTTATTCATTTTTTACTGACTAAATATTAATTCAACCATCCAACACTATAAATTGATAACATTAAACCTACATACAATCTTAGGATGATAAAAAGGTGAGTTTTTCTTAATTGAGGATATATTTACATACCTTTTTGGTTGAGACAAGAAAATCACAATTCTTTTAATACCATTTATTTAGAATAAGCAATGCTTTCCTTAGGGAGGAAGATGTAGGGAGCTGAGATGATGGAGGGTTGTTGCGCCGGGTGGTGTTGTGCAGCTATCGTACTCGAGTCCAAGAAAATAGAGAAAAGTGTGAGAATGAACATCACAAGTGAGAAATATAAACCCTAGAGACAAGATACAAATAGGAGGCAATATTTTCATTTGCCAAATGATACTTTAGTAAAGAAGAGTAATAAAGAAATGCACAATCAGAATATGAACATAAAAACAACCAAAGAAAAACAACAAGGTATACAATTGAATAATTAAACAATTAGACAACCTCTAAAATATATTGGGTAATAACCTATGGTATAGAGAATCCACAACCAAAAGATACTTAGTTTCAACATCTAGCCTAGTATAACTATATAAATTACAGTATCTGTTATCATATCATCCGTTCAAATTAAACTAAAACTAATAGTGCTAGAAGCCATGTTGCCTAATTACTTGATACCTATTAGTGACAGTATTAAATTTTTATATATTAATAATGAGATCAGTATTTTATTATCAAAAAGAAAATGAAAAGAATTGGTCACTAATAGAAAATATATTTAACCTCCCTCAACTTTCCTATTATTTTATATAGGAAAGGGTTGTATCGAAGTTCATAAAAAGTCGTAATAAAAATTACAAGTATGACGACTACTTCTACATAACATGGGATGAGAGAAATACCACCGTGGAAGCAATGAAGTTGATACAGAATTCTGAGAAGGAGATAACAAATTTACGTGGAAAAAACATGGGACCAAAGAAGAGTGGTGACATGGTTTCTTCTCAGGTTCTAGCTGTGGTATGTTTGAATGATGATGAATCATCTTTTATTTAGAATACTTGTTAATTAATTCTTTTCCCTTTCTTTAAATATTTATTTATTTGTTTACTTTATTATTGAATGCATGTAGCGCTATCTTGAAGATTTGAAGCAACGTTATTCATCCCGCCGCCTGAATGAGATTTGCAATTCTGCTGATGTGTCTTAATACGCGCGTGCGCGTGTCTATCCTAGCTAAATACTACCTTATTATGTCTTTTACATGCGGCATGCATGTGCTGTGTTAATGGGTGTGGTTGAAGGAAGATTACTTATTGACTGTTCTACTCAACTTAGACTTGATGGTGTTTGAATTTGCCTAAACTTTATTATTAGACTCAACTTAGACTTGATGGTGTTTGAATTTGCCTAAACTTTATTATTAGCACCCCAACTTCAATATGAGAACACTAAATGGTTGTTCGTTAGTTGCTGATATCTCTCTTTTCTTCTTCTTCTTTTGTTTTGTTTTGTTTTGTTGTTGTTTTATTAACACAACTAGTTTTCTACCCCGTGCTTCGCACGGGTTCGTGATTTATACGAGTGTTGTTTGCATTTTTTTAATGATATTTGATGGACAAAATAGATGAATACTCAAAGGCGTAATGTGTTGTTTGAGTAGAAATAATCATTTTTATAAAGAATTCCAGATTTAAGATATTCAATAATGTTGTAGTTTAATTTTTTTTTAAAAATAATTTTATTAAAAAAATGTAGAAGAGTGAAAGAACTAAGAACCTATAGAAGCCCATAAGAAGAGTGTAGTTCTACTTTTTTTCTTTTCCTTTTTCCCTCTTTTAGTTGAAAGAAAAAAATCCAGCATTATAACCAAACTCCAAGCTCTCATGCTCCAACAACTACAACACGACAACACCAATTATCTCAATTCTCAACCCAAAATAACGATTAAAGCAAAATCTGTCATCCAATATCCAAACAAACCAAAAAAAACATCCTTACCAATATTCAAACTTATTAAACTCAAGTGTAGTCTCAATAAAGGACAACATGGTCAAAATTTGAGTATAGATTTTGGTACCAAGGTGTAACAAACAGCAGTGTGTGTATACATCCACCAATTTCATCACCAATAATTTAGCCAAATCTAAGACTCTTTGAAGCAAACAAAAATAGAATCAAACTACAAATAGAAGTTGCACAGCCAATCAGAATTAAACTTTTACCAGTAAACTTTGTTAGCAAAATATCAAGCCTTCTTTCTTCACCTGTTCAATATGTAATTATGTATAGTAAACCAAATGATATTTGAAAGCTAAATCCCAACACTAATAAAGATCTGTATTCATAGATTGTAAAATCATATGATTGGGTTTGAAAAAAAGTAAATGAGAAAATGAGTACTTTTCCAGGCAAATGTCATTGCTATTGAACTGCCAAGAGACATTATACCTACTTTTACAACACAAACATTTCAGCCTTGAGTTGGGTTTAGAGTAATAATGTTTGTCAACAAAGCTAACTTCAATTTCTTCATAAAGACATGTAATATATGAGAATAGATTGATTTAAAATCTAGAATTCACTTTTGAAAATGAAAAAACACACGTAATTACCACTGATCAAGTGTATCTTCTTCTTTTTCTTTGATTAGCACTTTGGTAAATGTAATTAGCAAAGATCCTCATGTAGACCAAATTTTTTTAAGGCAATTGATTTTGAATTATAATTCTTCTATTATGAACTTGAGGCTTTAGAGTTCTGGAGCATTTTCTTGAAATATCAAATAAGGGTTAATAAATTTGCATATGTGATGATGTTTCATCATTCGGTCAGTATAGCTAGACGCTTCTACCAAATCAATTATTCAATCAATAAGCGAATTAAATTCACCAATCTTAATTATTTGTATCCTGACCCCTCAATGGAACAACCCAGCTGTGAAAAAAAATGGGAGTGAAAATAATGAATATGTTGTTGAAGATATGTGCATTATTTTTAAATAGAACATTTAAGTTTAGCATTGCAAAAAATAATTTGTTTTTGACTTCTTATGAGAAGAGTGGTCACCTAAGTAATAGGAAGGACTTGTTAGTAAAAATGATGATAACTTTCAACTCGTAATGATACAACATAAAAGAGCAGTGTTCAGTTTTGCAAACACAATAACATTTTAGCTACACATAGAAACAACAACCCATGAACAAAAAATCTAGAGACATAAAATCTTAACAAATTTGTCTAGATAGATTGTAAAATGGGAGAGAATAAGGTAACAAAGATATTGAAAAATGGGGAAAATAATGAAAAATGTAAATTTTGTGATGATAAATTGTACCTTCCAAATTCTCATCTTCCGTATAGCAAGTATGGCATGATTTTTAGGTCAGTAATGTGTGGTTCCATCCTATACCTTTAAAGGTGAACAACATGAGCAAGAGTTAAGTATCAGTAGTGTTAAAACATCACAGCTACATATATCAATTAATAGAAAAAAGTAGTAAGATGATATATCAATTAAATATATGAGATATGAAGTGCAAGAATCCCATTTTTTAAGAGAGCCTGCCATGATTTATCCTAGGTGACACACAATTGCTACCTCATAACCTCAAAAAATACACTTGGTGTTAGGTTCAGCCTAGTTAAGAAGTAGAAAAGAAAGGAAAAGAATTTAATCAGAATAGACTACAATGCATGAGACAAAGGATCACATCACTGATTCAAAATTTAAGGATTCTATGGCAATACATACATTTCATAGTTACCATAGCTAGAAAGAAAAATCAAATGAAATTGAATTATGAAATTGAAATTAAAAAAATGCACAAAGAAAGAAAAAGATGCATGAAAAATACCTGCAATTTTTCCCTCTGCTTTTTGCAGTAGCACCCATCAATTCATAGTTACACACATTTTAAGTATTATGTGGCAATATGAAATTGAAATGAAAAAAATGCAAATGAAAAAGATGCATGAAAAAAATCTGTGATCTTTCCCTTTGCTTTTTACAGTATACCCATCAATTTGCAAAAATTCACAGCCCAGTTGAGCTTTACACTCCTATATTGCAGCTGTAGGTTACCCATGTTTGAAAACCAAATATTACGGTTTAAGATCAAAGTAAAGTAATTACAAATATTCAGTTAAAGTATTCGATGCTTAAACATGCCAAAGTAGATATGTGATCAGAAGGGATTAAAATGAAAGTTTAATATCTAGGTAATAAGCTAAGTGGTGTATTAACTGGATTAATACAAATCAACGCACCTCTTCCTCTTATAGTGTCAAACACCTTTGAGATGTGAAAATAGATTCTCGTAGTCCGAGAGTATCAATATGAAATTGAAAAGAAAAAAAATGCAAAAAGAAAGAAAGAAAAGGATCCATAAAAAATACCTGCAATTTTTTCCTCTTCTTTTTGTAGTAGCACCCATCAATTCGCAACAACTTGTGCCCCGATTGAGCCCTTCATTCATGTATTGCCGCAGTAGGTTACAAGTCTTTCAAAACCAAAGCATTACGGTTTAAGATCAAAGCAAAGGAATAACTAAAACGCACATGAGGTATTCAGTGTTTTAGCATACCAAGTAGATATGTGCTTAGAAGGGGAATTTATCCCTTTAGTTTAGCTCTTGGAAATGGCTTAAGATAATACTCTTGAAAAAACTATCAAAATAAAAAGGCATATCAATTAGGGATTCTTATATTTATGAGCCTAAAAGTGTTTGCTATACACATTTAAGGGATTCTTTAAAAGTGAATACTATATGCATTCTCATCATCTTAATTAATAGTAATGACATTAAGCATAAGTGAAAGCACCATTAACAAAGCACGCAGAAGTAACCAAATTAGAAAAAATTGTAAACTTGTAGGTGATGTTAAGCTTCACTAAAGAGTCCAAGCAGAAACAAATAAAAATAAAAGAACGGGAATTCAAATTGTGGAAAACAATTAACCTTTAGGCATTGTGACATTGGTAAATTCAGCTAATCGGAGAAGAGTGAGTGACACACCACACGAACCTTACTCATACAAACTCCAGACTCACATGTAAGACTTTCGACAAGGGTTTATTTTTCAGTAATGTTCCTCAATGAACCACATTGGGAAGACGCCATGCCTATATCTACGTATCTCACATGTGCCTCACTATATGCTCACACCAGTTTCTCAGGAACATCCGTATATATTACTACCTCCGTCCCGCTATATTCGTCCACTTTTGACTTTTGAAACTGTTCATTTAAACACTTTGACTTATCAAATTCTCTCAATGTGTAAGCCTAAATATAGTCATGTGTGATCTTGTTTGATTTGTCTTAACATATAGAGTATTAATATATAATTTCTATAATTTTTTAATATAAAAATTAAAAGATAAAATGGATTAAAGAAGTGCATTGGATGGTGTGCAAAAATGAAAGTGGACAAATACTCTGGACGGAGGTAGTACAAAAAAAGGAAGAAAATCAACATAGGCACGTAAAAAATCTCAAATAAATGACAACCTGGGAAGGCGGAAAAACTCAAATAATGATGCATCTTAATTGCTTGTAAATTTACAAACCTGATGTTACACCATTAAATGCATGGTTGTTAAGTCGACAAGTCGAGTCGAGTCGGTGACGGAGAGACTAGTGGACTAGGCGACTAGTCGTAGACTAGTCGACAAATCAGAATTACTATTGAAAATTTTAACATTATATATATCTACATTAACTGAATTCAGAAAAAAATTGAAATACTAAAATATTAACTAAATTAAAATACTAAAATATTAACTGAATTCAGAGATACTAAATTGAAATACTAAATTGAAATATTAAAATAAGAAAAAAAAATATTAACTTAAAATATTAAAATAAGAAATACTAAACCAAAATATTAACTGAATTCAGAAAAAAAATTGAAATATTAAACTGAAAAAAAAACTGAAATACTAAAACACTAGAATAAGAAAAAAACCAAAATATTAACTGAAATCGGATAAAAAAAACTGAAATATTAAGAAAACAGAAGAAAACTGAAAATTTTAAAGTATGTTATACTCTATACTTTAATGAATCAAATACATGAAAATTAAATCAAATAAAGAGTATACTTTAATGATAAGAAAGTAAACATTGAGAAATCTTACCCATGGAGGAGAGTCGCTGGAAGCCTGGAAGTCACGGCTGGAACTCAAGAGAAAGTCGCGACACTCAAGACTATCGATTCTGGATGGATTGCGTGGAAGAGGTGTGTTTTATAAAAAAATTTAAAAATAAATGAAATTTGGGTTGGGTCGGGTTGAATGGATTAGGTCAAATTTGGCCAGATTCTTTCACCGATTAGGCGGCGCATAATCGCGACTAAGCTTCGCTTTGCACGCTTTGTAGCCTAGTCGGCCCTAGGCGCTAGTCGGAGAGCAAACCGCCATGGCAAAACCGCCCGGACGACTAGCCGGCGACTAGTCGTGGCCTAGGCGACGACTTGACAACCATTTTTAAATGTAGCGAGGTCGAACTCCTCATGTGAAAAACCAGTAACTCGATTGCAGCGGAAAGCAGAAGAAACTCAAATACAAATCAAAATTCTATGTTGACTTTATTTACCTTCTGTAATGTGTGAGTGATTTACTTCAAAGGGAGGCAGTATGTCTTTGCCTTAATTCAACATAGAATTGTGAGTGATGATATGCAAAATTTAAAATTAATATCCATAAACCAAATCAAAGGAACGGGGAACATGGGTCTTTTGCGTGAACAAATAAATCTTTGCTTCAATTCAACATGGAATTGCGAGTGAAGACATGCAAAAATTATAAAATCAACATCCCTAAACCAAATTAAAGGGGAGGGGGTGAAATTACTTGGGTGATATACGAACGGAGCAGTAGTGGAGAGAAAGTATTGTAAACCAATTCTATCAGATATTGATGAAGGAAAAGGCGATTGCACCAAAACCTGCATCTCGCCCATCAAGCTTGAAATAATTAGGGGAAAATTTTAGGATTTACTTGATGCCAAGTTGAAGAAGAAGAATACCTGTAGTTGTAGTCGTTGCAGCTGGCGGTCTTGCTAGGCCAACCACGTTAATCGCCTCTAGGCAACCATAGGCAAAATTGAGCAAAAAACAAACCACCACAATCGTCGCCTGAATCACTTCAGCCTGTTTCTTCGTTTGTGAGAGAGGCCGTGAATGCAAGGAAATCAGAGGCACGTCATGACTCCGGCGATGTCGTGCACCCCATAGGCAAAATCTATTGAAAGAGGTGATTGACGTGGGGGGGATGGCCGGCGATGGAAAACGCTCTTATCCCTCGTGGCATAGTAATCCAGATCATGCGCCATGTCACTTGACACGTGTCAACACCAAAGCCAAAGTAAATTAAACATCAAATAAAATTAAATTTGGCGTAGTAAGTGAAAACAGATTTAGTTTCCTTCATATTTGATCAACCATTTGCAAGCCGTTTCTGACCACTGCACCAAGTATGAAAATAAATTATTAGTAACCTATATTAGGGCATTCACTCACAAATAGATTCTATAGTATAAAAATTCCAAATCTTAGTAAGTAGTTATGGCCCCTTTCAATCTCAACCTTGAAAAGAAAGCAAATCAAAATGGTTTACCAGGAATGTCAGTGCTCCACCACAAACTAAACAAAATTTCCAAAGAGCTGCAACCTTTGTTGTTCTATATCATGATACTGGCTTTTGTTGTCAGCAGACAGAAATTCTTAGAATAAGACTTCACCTTCAACAAAGACTCCTTCAAAGAAATGAGCAGTGTTCCCTTTGCTGCTAACATGCATGACTAAAAAAACATAAGGCAAACAACCAAAACATACAATTAGTATACAAACTTAACCGGAGTTTAAAGCATACATAATGAAGATATTAAAAAGCTAGCATAAACTAACTCCTAACCAATTGAAATCATGCCACGTCCTAATTATTAATTCCTTTTTTGTTCTTCGGGTTGCAAGTATCTCATTACCATGACAGCCAAACCTTGATTGTATAACTACCCATTTTAAAGACACCATGCTTCACAGATGACATGTATTAAAGGGCTACATAGTATTCATTAATCAAATTAAAGGATATTAAACTCAAAAGGACAATCAAATGGTTAGTAGTCGAGAGAAAAACATGGCATTGACACCGAATAACACCGTATATTTCCTTTACCTTCTACTTGTGCAGAATATGATGCAATTGCTCCCCCTATTTGCAGCATCACAATTTTCAATTGAATCATATTTTATTTTGGGAAATGAAATGTTGTTGCAAAATTCTATGGAATAATTTATTATTAAGAAAACTTTGAATCCTGAGCGAGTAAATGTACCTAGCCATGTCCCAGGAGATAGTTACGTTGACGGACATGCCGAGGCGTGTTGTGGACGCTCATTGAAGGACATGTGGAGGACCACTGAAGAACCCAATTTAGACTTATAGGCCACCATTTTGAGAGAAGTTACAGATTCAGGGTCAGCTATGACAACTACCGCTGAAGTGAAGACGGTGAGAGTTCATATATACTCCCCAAACCTTTCGTCTCCTATTTTTTTCAATTTAAGAAACAATGTTAACTCTCTATTTATACGAAATAACTCCACCTACAGCCGTTACTAACACCCAATACAGCAGCATAATCTTCTATGTGTTGTGTGCCAAAAAGCTTCAATCCTGTGCAAGAACTCCAATCGTCAACCTGACTTGCCAAATTCTAAACTAAAACCTATGAATCCACAAACAGTCCTATGTGCTATACCCAAGTCAACTGCTTTTCCCAGCTTCAAAAACCTGACTTGTACTTGATTCAAATCTACCTTATTACCCTGGAAACACTAAACCAGCCCACAGAAACAGTGAGTCCTAATACTCCCTCCGTACAAGTTGAAACTTCCCAGTTTGACTTGGCACGGGTTTTAATGTAGAGTGAAAATTACTTTGACTTTCCCATTTTGCCCTCCTAATATTTCCCTTGTGCCCGGTTGTCCCTTCTGAACAAACGCATGCCTGGCCTCCTTTCTTTTTCCTCCCCCCTCCCTACCCTTCTTCTTCCTCGACATCAACGCCCCATCCCCAATTCCCCACCTCCCCCCTCTCTGCCCTCCATTACACCAATCACACTCTTTCTCATTCTTTTTCTTCTTTAATTCATCAATGTCAAACCTTGCCCCATGCCCTTAGTCCTCAAATCAACCCCAAATCCACACATCTTCTTCTTCAATTTCAAACTCGCCCTACCCCTGCCCTCTGTGTTAACTGCCGCCAAATTAAAATCGAAACTGAATCTCTTCAATTTTGGAAAATCAAATCTTGGATTATGCCTCAAAGAGATTGAAAAAGAAAATTTTGAAAAGAAGAAAAGAAGAAGGAAAATCAGATCTAAAAGAGTTGCCACCGTTTAGATCTGAAAGGTTTGTCACCCCATCTTTCGTCGACGCCCCTTCACCACTACCCTCTGCTGCTTGTCGCTTCTCACATTTTTCGGCCCTTCTACCATTGAAGCTTAGATGGGGTGGGGGGATGACAAAGAAAAATTTATGAACATGGGGAGAAGAAGAAGAAAGAAAGAATGGGAGGTGGGGGAAGTGTGACGGAAGAAGAGAAAATGAAATTGGGGAGGTGAGAGAGAGAAAAAGGAAAAGTGGAGGGAGGGGGGGCTTGGCCTTAACGTAGAGGAGAAAAAGAAATGGTAAATTAGTCCTTTTGAAAAATTTTGTTTTCCAAATAAGGAAATGGGAAGAATCAAATGGGACGGTCCAAAAAGGAAAGTGAGAAGAAAGATATGGGAAGGAGGGAGTAACTTCTAAAAAAGTCAATTATATAAAGCCCCTGTGAAGTGTTTCTAAAGCTGCTGAAATCACCTTGTCAATTCCACAGTTACATCTGATATTGCAGCCCCTCAACATCACACATGGCAGCCTCTCAACCTCAACTTTTGCAGCTCCTCAGAATCTATGAATAAGCTGCAAAACTTGGATTTATAATATACCACCTACCTATTTCCACCAACAACTCATCTTGTCCATGTGTCTTTTATGTTAGACCAAGTTTTAAACAGTTTTAGGTGTGTTCAAAAGATGGAAAAAGACTTACAAAAATAATAAGGAGATGATCGAGTCTCCATCATATGATTCATGAATAGAGTGTGAAGAATTTAGCTAGCAGGCTAGGGAAGTACTACGTTGTTTTTGGATAGAATTCATGATGATTAGCAGAATGTGCTTCTTGGCTATATATTTGCATTGTAGGAGCATACATATAAATTCACAGTGGATAAAATTGGCAATTCGTGATACCATCGGATACATTACGATTTGCAGGAAGCGTGGGTGCAATGGAAAAATATTAACAAAAAAACCAGACTAAAGGATGCCAATGAGTAGAACAGAAGGTATACATACCAAGGAGTATCATTTTGATTGAGCTATTATAGCATCATAATAGAGGTTTCTATTTCCATGAATTATATATAGTCTGCACAAAAAATCAAACAAATTAGGAAGTTCTACTGAGTAAACACCACTGTAGAAAAACATTAAAGAATGTAGAAAGCTATACTAAGTAAACACCACTGTAAAAAAAACATTAAAGAATGAACCAATTGTCGAACATATAAATGCTCAATATGAGTGCAAGCTTAGAAAAACCCTGACACGAAACCTCAAGGCTGCCTGCCATAAATGGCGAGTGGTGTCTAGCACCATTGAGTAGAATAGAAGGTATAAATATCAAGGGGCTGAGTATCATTTTGATTAAAGCGCTGTTATAGCATCATAAGAGAGGTTTGTGTTTCCATGAATTATTATTAATCTGCACAAAAAAGCAAACAAATTAGCCAATTACACACTGATAGAATGGCAATCCTCACAAATTAGCCAAAAAGCCCCCAACAAATTATATGAAATATGCAGCAATGCTCAATTACACTCCAACAATGCTCACGTGAATAACTAAAAGCTTTCCCACTATCTTCTTCTAATAAATGTTAATCATTACACATTCTAATAATTGGAATTCAAGGATCCTAAACCCATAGCCGTTTCAATTATAAACTCTTATGAATACCATCAAATATGTAATAATTGCAAAAGATAACCCAAAAGACTCTTGAAACTGTGGATTCTATGCCGGCGAGGGATATGGGCAGGCTTAGTCGGGCGTAGAAGTGCGATGAGAAGAAAGAAGCTGAACATTCCATGCATGCGAGGGATACGGGCGAGCTTAGTCAGACGTTCTATGCCGTGTGATGAGCAAGAAGCTGACCGGCATAGGGATTTTCGTCCTTCAGTTCGGTGCTTCAAACCTAAACATCCATTAAACCTCCTGCTCTCCTCTGCATTTAACCCTCTTGATGACTAAGCATAAAAAGACACATAGAACACCACATAGGATGACACATGTCATAACAACAATTAAACCGCTCTGTAAATTCATGTAGAGAATTGATACTTTTTATATAGACAAACTAACAGTGAGGAGGTAAATTTATGCATCTGATGTCAATTTTAGATTTTGTATTCCCCTTTTTGTTGATGAAAAACACCATTATTTGGTGTTCCCCTTGTGGCCATTCAGTAGAGATTTGATACATTTTTATATAGTCAAGCCATTGAACCATCATTTAAAAGGATTACCTCCTTTTCTGCCAAGGTCTCCCACGAAGATGATATTCCCCTTTTGGCATGGTCGTTTGCTTCCTTGAGGAACCCTAATTAGTGACAATTCAAAAGAGAAAGAATACTTTTTATGTATTTTAAACCATAGCACCATCATCTAGCTGGATTAGCTCCTTTGACGCATGGCCGTCTCTTCTCCCATGGTCCTTTTAGTTATAATCAACAAAATCATTAAAGAAAAATACAACACATAATAGATGAGAAGACAGTTAAGAACTTACAAAGCACATCTGTAACCATAGCTCAGCTCAACTGACACTCTCCTAACATCGAACATATAAACAATCTCCCTATGGACGTTAATTGCAAGAAGATTGACCAACAGGATGTTATAGATACCTAATAATAAAAAAATAACAAAATAAAAGAAATACCTAACCAACATCAATAATATCAAAGTTCTCAATTTCAATTGTTTCATTAATATCAAATGAAACATCAATAATATCAACACTCTCAATTTTCATAGCTTCAAGAGTTTGATCCTCATTTCTTGAAAAAAGTAAATATTTTATAACAAACTTATCAAGAGCCCCGTTTTTGAAATTTGTTTAAACTTTCTAATTCTATTACTCATTTTAAATCAAAGCGTTCAAGAACAAAATGATAAAGTGA